TCCTTTTTATTCGAAGGATTTTTCTTTTTGGTCATCTTCTTATTTTTGCCTTTATGTTTTTCCTTACTTTCTGAATCATTTGAAGATTCCGACGACGAATAAGACGATGGTGCAAACAATTCCGAAGATAAACTATCTGAAGATATTGAATCGTTACTGCTACTTTCGCTTTTCAAAAATTATCTTTGAAGAGTTGTCTTTGTCAGTCCTTCGCTTTATAGTTTTATTCTTAGCGGCTATTTTATTTTTACCTACAAATTTTTTAGTTTTTTCCTTTTTTTCGAAGGATTTTTCTTTTTGGTCATTTTCTTATTTTTGCCTTTATGTTTTTTCTTATTTTCCGAATCACTTGAAGAATCGTCGTCGGATGGTGCAGACAATTCCGATGATAAAGAACTTGATGATGAGGACGAGGGTGCAGATTTCGGAGCAATCTTTAGGGGTTGACACAATTCATTAGTTATTCTGCCCAAACCAATGGATGTGAAAAAGTTAATGGAGAAGCGTATATTTTTGGGATTATCTTTGGGGAATAGTCCCGCCAAAGTTCCAGCTAAAACTTCAGTCTTAAGTGTTTTATTAAAGTGATCCCGACCCATGTATTCGATCAATTCTTGAAAGAAAATTTTTATAAAAAATACAACGTGATGTTATTGCGTCATCTTCAGTTAGCTTTATGCAGTCTAAAACATCCCAACTAATTGCATCGGTAAACAACAAATGAGCAAAGAATTTGCTTATATTCCGCAAACGATTTGTATCTAAACAATGCGTAGTCTGACAGATATCCTTGAAGATTTCTTTAAATGGTTCTATATAAGACTTGTTAATTTTACAAAATCGGTGGGCTAAAAGGCCATAGAACTTCTCATTTTCATTGACAAGTTTTCAATTGCATTTTCAATAATTTTTGGGCACATTCCTCATAATCAAAACTGGAATTTAAGGTAAGATATATTGTTCTTCTTATCACAATCAGATGTGGTTTTGTTTCATCAATAATGTCACCACTCGTGTATTTATCATTAACCTCATTTTTGCCCTTATCACAGTCAGATAATGCAGTTTCGGAATTACTACCCGAACCGAAGGAGCCATCCGAATCTGAAGCATGGCTACCCAAAATCTCCTTACTGAGTGCTTTATATTTCTCTTCATTGGTCTCGTACTGATCTCGAATTTAAATTCGTCTAAAAATTAATAAATTTAATGACAAAAAATAATTTATTAATTTCTATTAACTTACTCAATATATCTTTCGGGTATGTGACATCTTCCAACAATAGCAAATGAGTGAATTGAGCTTCTTCTTTTACCAATTCTAATGACTCAATAATCGATTGATGGTCCTTAAAGCCATCTCTGCGTACTTGAAATAAAACTTCAATCATATATTGTACACGTTTATCCAACTTGCCTTGATGCAAGATATTTTTAAGCAATTCAAAAATGCCTCCAACCCTATCCGATGATACCTCTGTCAATTTCATACCACATTCCTTTAGAAATGTTTTGGCCACTTCAACATTATCATCAGTCGGCGATTCACTTAAGAGTGTTAGAATTTCTAGGGCCACCCTTTGATTAACCAAGTGGGCAATAAAATGTGAAGAAGACAAACAAACGGTCTTATCGTTACACCCAAATGCTCGTTTGAACTGTATGACCAAACGTTTCAACAGCAATTCCCCAATATTGGGAAATTTTGAATTAATAATGGCCACCATGGCGGCATAAACATGGGTAAATGTTGGCGATGAAGATACTTTCTTATTGTTTTTGAAGAATTCATCTCTTCTTTTGATTGGTTCAGATCGGCGTAACGCTATCCTTTCATAATCTGACGACATCGAACGACGTCGTTCATGTCGTCTTTCTTGTGAACAAATTCGTCGTGGAGTTCTTGATGGAAGCTTCTTTTCCGGCCTTCGAAATCGACTGTGAGATCTAGTACGGCTTCTGCTAGATCCTATTCTTCGTCTTAGTCGATTGTCCTTGTCCCTGGAGACAGACCTTTTGGTCATAGAAGAATCTCCGTGTCCAAAGGAAGTTCGTCGATTTCTTAATACACTTTTTTTATATCTTGATAAACTTTTTTTCTACTGAATGGGTTCGGCTAATGTGTTCAGAATAACTTAAACGTGTGTTTCTAGAACGGCTTCTATAGGCGGATAGTTGTATTTCTTTGGAGAGAGCTCGCACAAAAGATTTTTTTTAGTCTTCTCTGTATTTTTACATTCTTCTATCTTTGTCATTAGTTCTACTGGGTGGTCATTTGAATCCGTTGTGTAATTATGGTTAGTATCTTCCTTGGGAAGCATTTCATTCGATCCATCCTCTCTAGGAAATCTTTCAACTAATTTTTCTTCTGCTTCCTTCCATATAGTATATGATAGATCACGTACTACTTCCAATACGACTTCCCTTTGCCCTGATAGAACTTTTGATTTGTTATTTTTGAAATATGTTTTGGAAGACACTTCTCCATCACTTGATCCACTTGTGGACCCCGAAGACGAAGACTCAGAACTAGGTTTATTTTCCGGTTTTCGAGATTCGGCGTCGGTGGCGTTCATATTTTTGTTGTTGTCAGGCTCTGTTTATTGTTTATTCGAGAGTCGTTATTGAAATCCTATGAGAATATGATAAACTGATGGTGTTACGTCCAGATTAACCGCCAGGTTATTTTCTTAATATATCGACAAAAGGTTTCGAATCTAAGAAATATATTGCCATTAAGAGAACAAGGGTAGGTAGTCCGTCTTTTAATACCCAAAGTTCTGAAGCGAGTGAAGTTAGTAACGTTGCTACCTATCGATAGCATCGATTTTTTTCCTAATTATAAGGTGGCTCGGAACATCATAATTTTCCATTTAATCACTTTTTCAAATGTTCGACAGAAAAAGTAATGCAACATATTTTTAAACAATATTTATTTAAAAAAAAAATATGAGTGAAAATGTTCAAAAAAAAAAAAAAAAAAAAAAAATGTTGCTTGCTAATGAATTATCATACTCCATACATAATATAGCAAACGGAAATTGTTGGACTAACAATAAAATTTTGATTTCTCAAAGAAACATTAAACGGCACCGGGACACCTTAACAGAAGCTATATGCTACATGATATTTTAAGACCTAACGATTATTTTAGCACATAACATTCTCCAAATCAGTTTTTGGTAGAATAAATTTAGGGCTGTTTGCCTTGGGCTTGGTTTGTGTGTATTTTTTCTGCGCAAGAAAATTTGGATATACCTAAACAAAATTATTTAAAGCTAATCGTATATACCTAAAACAATTTTTTGTATAAAGCATGTCGATTAAGCGCAGTTACAATTTTTTAAACACAATTGATCGAAATCCGTTCTTAAAATTATTAAAAATCGTGTTTTTCTGAGGGCAAATTTTTGAGTTGATAAACTTGTTGTTGCAAAATGGTAAGCCTGACCCTTTATTGTTGTTTTTATAAAAACAACGTTTTTTTATTAGCGGAGAACGATGATAATATTTACCAGGGGTAAGGTAGGGAATACCGAGGTTTCGAAAAGAGCCACCAATCCTCGTCAGTTCCCTTGTTTTTTGTCTGGGATATTCTCCCCAGAAGTTATATTATAAAATAACTTCTAAGACAAAAAAACATTTTTTTTTTACCCAAGTGACGAGATCGTAAGCTCAATAGAAGAGGAACCAAGGAATTAAATAAAACTAAAATACTTTTGGAAAATCTTCTAAATCTTACAACGGCACTTATAAACATTTACATCTTTATCCACTTGTTATACTTTCGTTCTACCTGAACGAAGTAGCATAACCATTGTAACACTCAGTCTACGCGGCGTTGTGGTGGGGTTCCGCACTAGCTCAGGAGGGAGCGGTTATCCAGGTGGTTCTCAACCATGCCACAATCAACCCTAGGTAATGAACACTTAAAGAATTGAATCGAATAAACTCAAACTTAAAACTGAAAAACAAACATACACAACATACACCAATGACACAGGAGCTTGATATTATTGCTCCCCCACTATGCCCACCCATCCTTGAGCCTTTAGTCCATATACACACAAAAAATTTAAAAGGGCCCCAAAAAGCCACACACACTCTTCTTCTTCTTCTTCTAAATCTTACAACGGCTCTTACATCTTTATCCACTTGTTATACTTTCGTTCTACCTGAACGAAGTAGCATAACCATTGCAGCACTCAGTCTACGCGGCGTTATGGTGGGGTTCCGCACTAGCTCAGGAGGGAGCTGTTATCCAGGTGGTTTTCAACCATGCCACAATCAACCCTAGGTAATGAACACTTAAAGAATTGAATCGAATAAACACAAACAAAAAACTGAAAAAACAAACATACACAACATACACCAATGACACAGGAGCTTGATATTATTGCTCCCCCACTATGCCCACCCATCCCTGAGCCTTTAGTCCATATACACACAAAAAATTTAAAAGGGCCCCAAAAATCCACACACACTCTCTTACTTACAACATCATTGTTCTCTTAAAACTAATTTCGACATGAACACATAAGAATAAAACTGGACTTTTAATACCGGAACGAAAAAATTTGTGAGTCAATACTCAGATCAGATTTGGCGCTAGGAGCGCGAAATTTTGGTCAAAAAAAACTACTCTAAATTCTGCCTAAAGGAGCTCGCTTAGACGAAAGTTTTGGGCATTCTAAATTCTTGTTCCAAGAAATATAGAAATGGTCTAGCTGTAAATTTTGAGAAAACCCTACACTCACTAAGGAAAAATTATCTGGGCATTACATATCCTCACAATTATTTCTTAAGTACTATTTATCTAACTACAAACAATACATTTATCTTATATACTAAACTACACAATAACAAAAAATATTTTTATATAGTTTTTTTCTTTCTTTTGGTTAAATGCCGATAATCATTAATCGACGTATGTCCTTTTTTGTTATTTTCCAGGAATAAACCTAAACTCGGCTGGCTCCCAAATGACAAGACTGGCAGGATTTCGGCAAAATAAAAAGCTGCGTTTATTTGGTTTGTTTGTTTACAAATAGTGAGTTTAGTTGTCGTTGTTTATTCTCTGTAAGAATTTTAAAAATTTAACAAAAATTAAGTTTACAAAAAAAAAATAAAAATATTTAATTTAAAAACAATAAAAATTAACACGACTTACTTATTTTTGGGTTCTAACAAAAAAGGGAATAAACAATGGCCAGAAGGGCCTATTTATATAAAAAGTGACATTAAGCAAAACAACAAAAATAAACAAAATGAAGATGTTGGCATAAATTTAGTTTTGTCTCCCTCTTCGCTTGGGATATTTCGGCCATTTATGACAATGGTATTTCAAATTTGGCTACACTTTTTAGCTTTGGTAATTGCAGGGTTACCATCTCCAACATCCCCACCCTCGTGAACTGACCCAGAGGGGGAGGCTTCACCAACTCCGTCACCAACCGCTTCCACGTCCAAAATGGCAAGTTTGGACACAGGTCTGTGGTATACACCGGCACTCGTTCTCACCTTGGCTGATCGTGCCACTCCGCCTTTGCCCCTGAATACTTCGACCAACATCCAACGACCGAGAAGGAAGACACCATTTTGTTCTTCGAGTTAATTCTGGAAGATATTCCCGAAGCCACTGATGCCACATGCCATTCTTCAAATTTTGGGTGACGCGCCACTGCTTCCTTAAACACATCAGTCTAGGCTCAAACGGTGCTGGAGTCTGGGTTGAATTGGTACATCCAAGCAGAAAGTGGTTTGGAGTCAATGGATCTGGGTCTTCTGGAGTAACTGACAAATGCGTAAGTGGCCTGCTGTTGACCATATTTTCCGCTTCAATCAGGAACGCTTGTAGAGTCTCCAGTTTTGGGGCTTGCTCCTTTAGCATGATGTAAAGAGCCTTCTTAACAGATTGGACAAGACGAACCATACTCCGCCTTCGCTGGGATTCACTGGCGTATTGTAGACCCATTTTATTCCAAGAGCTGTCAGACCAGAAGAAACGGAATTAGTGTCTAAAAAATTGGTTATACCTTGCAGCTCCAAGTGGACAGCGCGAACTGTAAGTCATGTAAACAGTGCCACCCACCTCTTTTCTCGTTGTCTCCGGATTGACACTGTTACAGGACCAAAATAGTCAAGTCCTGTGTCGGTAAAGGCTCTGACATAAGGTGTGAAACGTTCCAAGGGTAACGGGGCCATTTGTGGTTGAATTGGTTTGGCCTTACGAATCTTGCAGACAAGACATCGGGACTGAACGCTTCTTAAAAGTTGACGAAGTGACGGAATCCAAAATCGCAGACGAATTTCGCTCATTGTAGTGGCAACATTTATGTGACAAAAACGAGAATGGTAAAATTCCACCAGCAAAAGTGTAAAACGATGACCTTTGTGTTGAATTATTGGTCATCTGGTATCCAGGGACAAAAAAACAGCATTTTCTATTCTTCAAGAAACCCGAAGCAAACCATCACTTCCAATTTGTGGATTTAAAGACTTTATGGAGCTGTTGGCAGACACTGATCCAGTTCTCTGTATGTCAAGAATTTCATCCCCATATACTTCTTGCTGTACGCAGCGACAGAGATACATTTCTGCCCGTGCTTCTTCTTCCACCGTCAAATCACCCGACACCACTGATTTCCTCTTCATATTTTCAACGAATCGGAATGTCCACGCCATTGCCCGTTTCAGCCTACGATATTTTGAAATCTATTAATATCTGGAATACAAAAACATACTTGGCAAGCCACCAAAACTTTGTATTTGTTTCTTAGCTGTGATCCACACAGGTTCCAATTTGTCCCTCGTCCGGCCAATACTTCTCTTCTTTTCTCAGGAATTCTGGCCCATTTTTCCAACGTCCTTCTGGCTGGTACTTCTTTGGTCTTTTAGCACGGGTCCCTTCGTCAGCTGGGTTTTCCGCTCCTGGACACCACCGCCACTGCTCCATACGGCTGCTTTCCAGAATCTCCGACACTCTATTTGCCACATATTGTTTGTATGTACGGTGTTCTGAACGGATCCAAATTATCACTGTTGAGGAATCTGACCAAAAATAAATGTTATTAATATTCTTCAAATGATTTTCCAAAATTTTTTCCTTCATTCGCACTCCAATTACTGCTGCTTGCAACTCAAGCTTAGGTATAGTATGGTATCTTGTTGGGGCACAGCTCGTCTTGCCCATAACGAACACAACACTTACACCACAATTTGTTACTATACGCCAGTATGCCACAGCAGCCATTGCATCTTCACTGGCATCCACAAACACATGCAAATCTACTATAGCATTAAAAAATCCATTACTGTAACACCTCGGAACTTTGAAATCCTTTAATTTAGGCAATTCCTCCAGCCAGGTCTTCCAGCGGCTATAAATCGCGGCCGGCAACTCCTCGTCCCACTTTATACCACTTTTCCACACATTTTGCATAATTATCTTCGACGTCACCATAAAATCACCAAGAAACCCGAATGGATCGAATACGGACATATTTAAAGACAACATTTCTCGTTTCGTTGGCACTTTTTGCAATTTCAATATCTTTTCATCCACTTTGTGTAATTTTAATTCAAAACAAAAAACATCTGATTTTGGCAGCCAATGAATACCGAGTACCCGTTCCATTCCATCATAAAAATAGGGGTTGCCATCACTTTCATCAGAAATAGGGTTGCCAAACATACGTTGTAAAACAAGGGAATTAGACTTGATGTTGCGGAGATTAAATCCACCCTCTTTGTGAATTTTTATGACATCCCACTTCAACTGCCTCACCTTCAGTCTGGAAACAGTCGACGTAATCGTCTACGTAATGACGATCGATGTTTCCTTGTACTGCTCTTGGCGACTCATTTATAAACCTTCGGGCATTTAGGTTTTTCACATATTGGGCTATGGTGGGCGAACAAGTGGCTCCAAAAATCATCCGTTCCATTACATAAGTTTCTAAGGGTTGGCTGGGATCCCCATTTCTCCATAGAAATCGCTGACTGTCCTGATCTTCTTTGGCGATTACAATTTGGTGGAACATCTCTTGTATATCTCCGCACACGGCTACAGGAAATTCTCTGAATTTAAAAAGAATAGAGATTAAAGAGTTATTTATGTCAGGTCCAGGTAATAAGGCTTTATTTAATGAAAATTGTTGAACTTCAGCAGCAGCATCGAAGACGATACAAATTCCATCTTTGTTGGGATTTTTAACGCCAAAATGTGGCAAATAAAACGTTCGGTCGCTCCTTCTTTCTCGTTCTGCTACTGAAAGTTTACGGCAATATCCTTTTTCCTCGTAGTCTCTTATCTTTTTGCAATATTGAGCTGCATATACACAGTCCTTTGCCATTTTTCGTTCCACAAACTGCAATCGGTTGTACGACAAATTGTACGATTCTGGAATTGGAGAAAAATGTTCTTTCCACAAAATCGGACACTGATATCGCCCATCGATTCTTTTCGTGTTTTCTCTCAATATTTTTAACGCTCGTTCATCATCTATGGACAGAATTGGTGTCACATTTACCTTGGTACCCAATGTCTCCACGTCGAAATATTGCCGCATCATGGTATGCATTTCCTTAAGCAAGTCACAATTTTCTTCCTCGAAACGTTTCCTAACGTGTAAAGCCCGCTTAAGATTGGAACTCTTCTCGCCTGGGATCGGTCCATAAATTACGGCGCCTAATCTCGTTAGGGTAATGATTGGTCCAACATCGGTCATCATACGAGGAGCTTCCAAGGGAACTGTTAAAAATGAATGTTGCAAGCTTAATATTAGTTTAGGTTGTACATTCGAATAATCCCGGAATGGGATTTCGGCGATTTGGTCGATTTCACGGGATTTAATTAAATGAGCCAGATGGCAACTCTGTATTGGCAATGACAGATTGGACGAAATGTAAACATTGGTTATCGGGTACTTGTTGTTGTACCCACCGACACCACTAATTGCCAAATTAATTTTTTCTGTTTTTTCGTTTATGTTTTGGTTATTAAGCCACTGAATTTTTAAAATCTCCGGTTTCCCGTGTACTCCGAGTTCGCGAGCAACGTCCTCGTCCAGCATGGACACATTGGCGCCGTCGTCAATGAACGCGTATGTCGTTATTTGTTTGTGTGTTCCGTATAGCGTCACGGGCAAAATCTGGAACAGTACGTTTTCGGTGTAGTGGGCGGCATGACAATTTCTTCGTTGTGTTTGTGACGGCGGCGCGTCGGGAAGAGATGGGGTGTTCGTTCGTGGCTCCAAATCGTGTGTGGGTAATGTTCGGTTCCTGGGATGGCGTCGCGAGTGTTTTGTGCAACAATTGGTGGTGTGATTTTTGGCAATCATTTATGCCACAACGACGCTTATAGTGGCAATTTTTAAGTTGGTGGCCTCTCTTTAAGCAACAAAAACAAGTTTTAATTTGTTTAATTTTATTCCATCGGTCATCGATGGTCATTTTTAAAAAGTGTGGACAGATTTTTATATTGTTGCACTCTCCCTGACAAATTGGACAGCTCGAACTGATAGCGACATATGCGTATTTTTTTTTTTTTTTTTGTTGTGTTTGTGTGTGCTGAAATTGGCTGTGTGTCGTGGACCATATGTGCGAGACGGCGTAATATTCCCAACCAATCGCTGAAATCAACTATAGTGGCGGGGTGCTGGAGTTGCAGACATTTTTCGGCCCATTGCATTTGGCGGTTTATCGGCAGTTTGGACACTAGCTCACTCAGCAACGATGGATTGGATAGATGGTGTTCACCCTTGGCGTTTTTTAGGAAAGTGGCCATATTGGAGAGTTTGTTGGCAAAGTTGACAAGTGCATCCAAATTATCATCTGCCAGCGGTGGAATGGCTCGGACATTTTCTACTTGGCTTCGGATAAGTTGCTCTGGTCGACCAAATGTTTCCTGCAGAATTTCCAAAATGGCGCTGACGTTGGCAGAACTCCCCAACATGGATTCCACTGTTTCCCTTGCTCGGCCCTTCAATGCGTCTCTCAAACGCATGATGTTATGGAGATTGGAGTAACCAAATTCGGTTGTGGTGCTCTCGTAGGCTTCGAAAAATGCCTGCCACTCCTCTGGAAGACCTGAAAAAATAGGCAAGGGATAAATTTTTTTATGTTCATTTCCGTTGGAGTTATTTGAAAGTGAATTTGGAAAAGACTCATCTGTGTTGATAGACAGTGGCGGCAGTTGATGCACTTGAGTCTGCAACTGTTGACTTGTTGTTGGCGGTACTGTTTGTGGTGGCAAAACTACTGAATGTAATGGCAGATTCAATGGCGGCTGTGGTGGCAGACTCAATGGCGGCTGTGGTGGCAGATTCAATGGCGGCTGTGGTGGCAGATTCCTTTGTGGCTGTTGCGGCGTATTCAATGGCGGTTGTTGTGTCGTTTGATTTGAGAAAATTGGTGGTTGTGACGTCAGTGTAGGCAATGCTTGCTGCGACATTGTGTTTTGCAAAGAAGCAAACTGCTGTGACGTATTTAATAGTTGTGCTTGCATTTTTGCTTGTGCTGCTAAAAATTCGTCTTGCATTGCTTTCATCTGACGTTGCATCTGTTCCATTTCAAATTTCATAAGTTTTCTCATCTCGGCTAATTCATTTGCAGGATTTGGTGTTTTGGCTGGTGTATTTGAAGGCGGTTTTTGGATCTGTAACTGAGAAGTAGAAGAAGAAGATTTAGAAGTATTGGCGAGCGGTGTATTGACGGCTGCGGCTGCCTCTGGTATTTGTTGCTGTTTTTGGTGGCTGCTGGTAGGCGTATCTCCTGTTGGTGAGCGAACGACAGACATATCGTAAGTGTCAGGGTTATATAGGGCTGGCGGAATTCCTTGAGTGCTGCGTCCACTGGTTCTTCTGGTTAGATCTTGGTTTTGTGGCATAAAACCGGCAGAAATTTCTTGAATACAGGTAAGAATTATTTTTTTTGTGACTTAAAGTGGTGACAGCTGTTTTTATAAAATGTCCGTCCGTTTTAATGAACAGCAACAATAAACACAAATTCAAAAAGACAATTGACGACAGAAATTAAATTGACATAAAACAAATAAACAAAGAGTAAAGAATAAAGTTGTCCTTTTTTGTTATTTTCCAGGAATAAACCTAAACTCGGCTGGCTCCCAAATGACAGGCAGGATTTCGGCAAAATAAAAAGCTGCGTTTATTTGGTTTGTTTGTTTACAAATAGCGAGTTTAGTTGTCGTTGTTTATTCTCTGTAAGAATTTTAAAAATTTAACAAAAATTAAGTTTACAAAAAAAAAAAAAAATAAAAATATTTAATTTAAAAACAATAAAAATTAACACGACTTACTTATTTTTGGGTTCTAACAAAAAAGGGAATAAACAATGGCCAGAAGGGCCTATTTATATAAAAAGTGACATTAAGCAAAACAACAAAAATAAACAAAATGAAGATGTTGGCTTAAATTTAGTTTCGTCTCCCTCTTCGCTTGGGATATTTCGGTCATTTATGACAGTGGTATTTCAAATTTGGCTACACTTTTTAGCTTTGGTAATTGCAGGGTTACCATCTCCAACAACGAATTTCATATTTTTTCTATTTTAATAGTTCATCTTCGACAAGGAAAAGGAACTTAATATGACTCTTTTAGCGGGATCTGGCTTTCATTCTTTTCTAGAGAGGAGAAAATCTCAAGCCCCTGCCGAAGGCGTCTTTTTACAAAAAGTGTCAAATTTAGAAAACTTTGGTTCACGTTAGCCGGTGTAGGACATACCCAGAGGAGAAAATCTCAAGCCCCGGTCAAAGGCCGGCTACTTAAAAAAGGTATCCAATTTAGAAAACTTTGGTTCGCGTTAGCCGGTGTGGGACATACCCAGAGGAGAAAATCTCAAGCCCAGGTCGAAGGCCGGCTATTTTCAAAAAGTGCCGAATTTAGAAACCTTTTGTTCGCGTTAGCCGGTGTAGGACATACCCATAGGAGAAAATCTCAAGCCCCGGCCGAAGGCCCACGACTGCTACGCGACATAAACCATTTTTATACCCTCCACCACATTATGGAGGCTATATTAACTTTGTCATTCCGTTTGTAACCCCTCGAAATACTCATATCAGACCCAATAAAGTATATATATTCTTGATCAGCGTAAAATTCTAAGTCGATTTAGCGATGTCTGTCTGTCTGTCCGTCTGCCTGTCTGTCTGTTGTAATCACGCTATCTTTCGAATGAATTGAGATAGGTGGCTAAAATTTTGCACACATGTTTATTTTTCCAGTAGGCAGGTTAAGTTCGTAAATGGGCCATGAAGGTCCACGTTTTCATATAGCACCCATATAACGGTACCTCCCTATATTCGGTATTTTGATCATTTTAGCGACATTATTCACGGGAATTGTTTCAAATTTGGTATTTGAAGTTCAAAATGGATACTACACCCTAAGACGGAAAATTATCAGTGCAGGTGCACGTCTTGGTATAGCCCCCATATAACGGTACCTCCCGATATTCGGTATTTTGATGATTTTAGCGACATTATTCACGGGAATTGTTTCAAATTTGGTATTTGAAGTTCAAAATGGATACTACACCCTAAGACAGAAAATTGTCTGTGCAGGTCCACGTCTTCGTGTAGCCCCCACATAACGGTACCTCCTTATATTCGGTATTTTGATGATTTTAGCGACATTATTCACCGGAATTGTTTTAAAATTGGTATTTGAAGTTCGTTATGGGAACTACAGTCTGTGGCAGAAAATTGTCTGTGCGGGTCCAGGTCTTCGTATAGCCCCCATATAACGGTACCTCCCTATATTCGGTAGTTTGATGATTTTAGCTACATTATTCACCGTTTATTTCAAGTTTCGAATTTGAATATGGTAGTGGCTTATGACAAACAATGCCTATGTATGTCCACGTCGCATAGACCCCAAAATAACGGCTATATTCGGTATTTTTAAAATTTTAACAGAATTTTTTAAGGATTTTATTTTTTGAAAATTTTCAAATTCGTTGCAAATGGTGGAGGGTATTTAAAGTTCGGCCCGGCTGAAATTACTGCTTTTTAACTTGTTTTTATTGAAAACATCATTTTAATGAACTGGTTAGAATCGGGTTATGCGGATGGAAAGACCCACATCTCTGGACCCGGAAACGGTATTAGCACAATTTGTAGCATTTTGGAAAGGTAAGAGTGTCAGCTATAATTTGGAAACAATTTTGTTGACTCCCATAATGGACCCTTTTTTTACTTTTTTGGGGTTTCGTAAAAAATCCGGGTGCAAAAAATCGATATTTTGACTATAACTTCCGGACCATGACAAATTCATGTAACCACTTGTTGGATAGGTATTTCCATAATCTTTCAATCGATACCCATATTGTCTATATCGGATAAGTCCATGTGGGGTCTTGGTCCCGAACTTTCGGGTCAAAATTCTGCGGTCCTGGGTCCGTCCCCCAAGAAAAAAAATAGTTTACCGGGATTAGGGTAAAAATACCTATCTCTGGAAAAAATTCGAAAAAATCAAAGAGTTTTTACTAAACTAGAGTTGTTCGAAAACTAGGAGTAGAATGTAAAATGACAATTTTGACATAAACATTGAAATGTACATGGATAATAAAACTGACAGCACATATATAAAAAATATTCCCTCTGGCAGAGCCCTAATTTAGAACGTGTATATTCACGTGAGTGATTTTTTTCATGGTGGCGTTTTTTTCGCTCTTCCCGGCGTCTTTTAATTTCACTATCATGACGTTGAGATATTTCATGATTCTGCTTATTACCATAGTTATCTTTCCTGCAATCTGGTTCGCCCTTCTTTAAATATTCCTCATTTCTTTTTCTATCTACAAGAGGTTCATATTCATATTCTGCCCTTTTCTTACGTTTAATATCTCGTTGATTGTCCGCGTCTACCCATTGAGATTGTTTAAACATCTTAATCCGTTTTGTTCTTGATTTCGATGTAACCCTTTTCTTCCGTTTTTCATTCTCATCTTGGTCCGAGGTCGAACTATTTAAAGATTTTGATTCACTGATGCTACTTTCAGAAGAAGAAATGTCCTTTTCAGTCATTCGCTTCTTAGTATTTTTGTTTGGGGCTTTTTTATTTTTACTTAATTTTTTTTTGGTTTTTTCCCTTTTATTCGAAGGATTTTTCTTTTTGGTCATCTTCTTATTTTTGCCTTTATGTTTTTCCTTACTTTCTGAATCATTTGAAGATTCCGATGACGAATAAGACGATGGTGCAAACAATTCCGAAGATAAACTATCTGAAGATATTGATTCGTTGCTGCTACTTTCGCTTTTCAAAAAATTATCTTTTGAAGAAGAGTTGTCTTTGTCAGTCCTTCGCTTTATAGTTTTATTCTTAGCGGCTATTTTATTTTTACCTACAAATTTTTTAGTTTTTTCCTTTTTTTTGAAGGATTTTTCTTTTTGGTCATTTTCTTATTTTTGCCTTTATGTTTTTTCTTATTTTCTGAATCACTTGAAGAATCGTCGTCGGATGGTGCAGACAATTCCGAAGATAAAGAACTTGATGATGAGGACGAGGGTGCAGATTTCGGAGCAATCTTTAGGAGTTGACACAATTCATTAGTTATTCCGCCCAAACCAATGGATGTGAAAAAGTTAATGGAGAAGCGTATATTTCTGGGATTATCTTTGGGGAATAGTCTCGCCAAAGTTCCAGCTAAAACTTCAGTCTTAAGTTTTTTATTAAAGTGATCCAAACCCATGTATTCGACCAATTCTTGAAAGAAAATTTTTATAAAAATACAACGTGATGTTATTGCGTCATCTTCAGTTAGCTTTATGCAGTCTAAAACATCCCAACTAATTGCTTCGGTAAACAACAAATGAGCAAAGAATTTGCTTATATTCCGCAAACGATTTGTATCTAAACAATGCGTAGTCTGACAGATATCCTTGAAGATTTCTTTGAATGGTTCTATATAAGACTTGTTAATTTTACAAAATCGGTGGGCTAAAAGGCCATAGAACTTCTCTCAGGTTCTTTGTTCAGCGCAGCAATCTAACAACTCATTTTCTTGACAAGTTTCCAATTGCATTTTCATTAATTTTTGGGCACATTCCTCATAATCGAAACTGATTTGGTTTCGTTTCATCAATAATGTCACCACTCGTGTATTTATCATTAACCTCATTTTTGCCCTTATCACAGTCAGATAATGCAGTTTCGGAATTACTACCCGAACCGAAGGAGCCATCCGAATCTGAAGCATGGCTACCCAAAATATTCTTACTAAGTGTTTTATATTTCTCTTCATTTGTCTCGTACTGATCGTCGAATTTAAATTTGTCTAAAAATTAATAAATTTAATGACAAAAAAATAATTTATTAATTTTTATTAACTTACTCAATATATCGTGACATCTTCCAACAAGAACAAATGAGTGAATTGAGCATATTCTTCTACCAATTCTAAGGACTCAATAATCGATTGATTGTCCTTAAAGCCATCTCTGCGTACTTGAAATAAAACTTCAATCGTATATTGTACACGTTTATCCAACTTGCCTTGATGCAAGATATTTTAAAGCAATTCAAAAATGCCTCCAACCCTATCCGATGATACCTCTGTCAATTTCATACCACATTCCTTAAGAAATGTTATGGCCACTTCAACATTATCATCAGTCGGCGATTCAATTAAGAGTGTTAGAATTTCTAGGGCCAAAATTTCATGGGCCACCCTTTGATTAACCAAGTGGGCAATAAAATGTGAAGAAGTCAAACAAACGGTCTTATCGTTACACCCAAATACTCGTTTGAACTGTATGACCAAACGTTTCAACAGCAATTCCCCAATATTGGGAAATTTTGAATTAATAATGGCCACCATGGCGGCATAAGCATGGGTAAATGTTGGCGATGTAGCTTGAGCTTGTATTATGGAATGGCAAAGCACGCCCCTACCACGTACTATATTTTCCTTAAGCAATTTTCGGGTGATAACTACAACACAATCCACATTGACTTTATTGATGTAACCATGTATGTATTTCTCAAGAGCTTCCCGAGCTATACTTTGATATGCAGCCGATGATTTGTCCGTAATTTCTGCCTGTATCATACGCAATTTTTCGGGTGGTAAACAAACACCGCCTGTACATGATGTTAGTATATCTAGACTTTTCCTTTGACGTTCTGTTATCTTGGCCTCGAGTTCTGCTACAGTACCATTATCGTTCCCCTTTCCCTTTTTTATATCGCCAGATACTTTCTTATTGTTTTTGAAGAATTCATCTTCATCTCTTCTTTTGATTGGCTCAGATCGGCGTAACGCTATCCTTTCATAATCTGACGAC